TGGCCTCTTGACGTGTATTTCAGATAGTTGCACCCCACTTGAGTGTTGTAATTGCCTTAGCATGCTCCTTTGGATTGATTTCAGTGTTGCTAGGCAAACTACTTGATGTTTCACCAATCAAAGCAATTGCTATCTATCCTATTTGAGTTTCTAGAATTTTTATAGCAGTATTCTGATCTTAGAGAGTTGTTTCGATTTTCCTCATGAACTGATTGTTGGCTTCTATGTACTGATTGGTCTTTTCCATGAACTTTTCGAACATCCTTTCCAATTGAGGCTTCTTTTCTTGCTGTTGAAATTGACCCTAAGGCCTATTCTGATTTTGATTGCTTCAAGAGAAATTTGGGTGCTTTTTCCAACTCGGATTATATGTATCGCCAAAAGGATTGTTCTGTTGACGTTTTCCCCATTGAGCAAAATCTGTTTATTCCATTTCTTATGTTAAGATCGAGCATTCTGCGGTTGTATGATCAGCTCCACATTCCTCGCTACTGAGCTTCTTAGTCTATGCATGTTTTCCACTTTATAAAACAGAGAGTCAATCTTCGTCGATAGGGCTGAATATGCATCCACTTCATATGCACCCGATGTCTTCTTCTGAACTGCTCGTTCTTATGTCCATATAACTGATGTAGTAGCCACAAATAGTTTCAATGTCTCGTTAATAGTTTTTGGGACAGTGACCCATTAGATGAAGAATCAACTATGCTTTTGAAAGATGGAAATAATCCTATATAGAAATGCTGGACTTGGAGTTCCTTGATGATCCCGTGATATGGACGCTTCCAAAGCATGTTCTTAAACCTATTCCAGGTTTCACCAAAAGACTCAGAATCACCTTGACGAAAAACAGAGATATCATACTTTAGTTTTGCAATCTTGGCGAGTGCAAAGAACTTGGTGCAGAATTTCTGTGCTAAGTCATTCCATGGGGTGATACTGGCTATTGGTTGAGAATCCAGCCATTCAATTGCTTTATCTCGCAATGTGTGTGTGAACAACCACAATCTGATAGCGCCGTCTGAGATACTTGATATCTGAATTGTTGGCACATCTCCAAGAATTGAGAGATGTGCATATACTTGTTTTCTTCAGCTTTGCCATGAAAACTGGTGTCCCTTCTAAAATGAGTATTTGATATTAGTCTTAAGTTGGAAATTCGGCTACCTAAACGGTGGATACACAATGCTGGATTGGCTTTGAATGATTTGTGGGATCATGAAATGCCTAACAAGCATATTTCTCTCATCCACAACTTCCTCCTCGTTAGCTCAAATTATTGGATTGTTTTGCTTGTTAGCCAATTGTCTTTGCTGTTTTTAGTCTTTTGATGTTTATATATCTTGAAAAAGTGAGGAAAAAGAAAAAAAATTAAAATAGAACAAAAATAACAATATAAGAATACATGTAGTAGTCTGAATTAGTGCCAAGATAAATAAAATCAACTAAAACTCCATCCCCGGCAACAGCGCCAAAAATTTGTTCACGAAAATATTAATTCTATTTTAACACCGCAAGTGTAAAGTTCATTACAAGTAATAAAGTGGAATGTTGAGTTCCAATTATCGTCCCGTAGAAATTGAATTAGTTCAATTTTACCTATCTCGACTTTAACTGAAACTAATTTATCTAAAGTATAGCTGTGATGCAAATATAGCTAAACTAACCTATGTATGCAATTATGAATGATTTAAATGAAACTAAAATGCAATTTACGTTTGAATGCAAGTTTGATGAATCTAATGAATAAGAGACATACTAGAATCGCGAATCCAATGCAATGATCCATTTTAACCCTAATTCTACAAATTGACAGCACGTTTGAAGTTGAAAAACCAATGTTCATATTTTATTCAACAATCTCTCTCGAGTAATGTTGAACCTACTCTCATATATAACCAACTATATCTCTATAATAGATGCGAGTATACAAGAATGCAAGGATTTTTGTGAAACTTGAGATTCACGCAGGGCGTAGCGATATATCTCTATTTCCTATCAAATCTTACGATAAGTTATACCCTATCGAGTCTATTTCCCTTCTCTTGAATGCATGAAATACACTACAATATTCCCACAATCACGTGCACAATAATTGTGGAGAAAATAAGTGCATATAACTCATTTAAATTCAAAGAACGCGTTTTATCGTCAAGAATGCAAAACTAGAAATCAAAATATTGTATGATTCATCATTCTCCTAATACAGAAATATCTAGCCTAACATGGGAAAAATAAGAAAACACAAAGAAATATGAAGAAATGACATCATTGATTTAATTTTCTAATTGAATCTTCGCGTAATCCTGTCGATCTTCGTGTTTCTTCTCGTGTTTTTGGCTCAAAATCTCCTTTAAAGTATGTTCTTATGTCTTCCCATGTGTTTTTCTATTGACATTGATGGCTCTAGAGTTTTTATATATGTTTCACGATTTGTTTCCGTAAGAATTTTAATCAAATAAGGAAACCAGATTTTTCTCGTCGGGTTTGTACGATGTGATTGTATAGTTCAATTGATTTTGGCCTTGAAACTTCTAAAAATAGGTGTGCGACTGCATGGAGTTTTATACGATACGATCGTATAGTACTGGAAACTTCCCAAAAGTTGCAATTCAATCCCTGAACTCTATTTTCTCATTTATTGACCCTTTTTTTCATTTCTTCTTCTTCTTCTTCTTCAAATAGTTCATGTTTTCACCAAATTGGTTCTTAACTCTTTCACATCCTTGTTTATACTTCCCGGTCATCTTTTGACCATTTGTATTTTGGTCCTCGAACTTTAATTTTCTTCCATTTTGGTCCCTTTTTGCTTGTTTTTCCTAGATTCTGCTACATTCATCAATTTTGTCCTACGAAACATAATTTATACATAATTAAGCCATATTCCAACACAATTACTAACAATTGTCTATTTTCTTCTTCTTCTTCTTCTTCTTCTTCTTCTTCAAATACTTCATGTTTTCACCAAATTGGTTCTTAACTCTTTCACATCCTTGTTTATACTTCCCGGTCATCTTTTGACCATTTGTATTTTGGTCCTCGAACTTTAATTTTCTTCCATTTTGGTCCCTTTTCGCTTGTTTTTCCTAGATTGTGCTACATTCATCAATTTTGTCCTACGAAACATAATTTATACATAATTAAGCCATATTCCAACACAATTACTAACAATTGTCTATGTTTTGTAGCCTAAATAAAGTGATAAAATGCACTTATCACCCTTCGATTAACCAGAAAGCACGAGAGGCCACACGAAAGGGGTGTGGTGGTGGGTTAGTGGGGATTAGTTGTGTAAAGAGGAAGAAGGGGTGGTTAAGGTGGTAATTTGAGTAAAAATGACAGGTAAGAGTGATACAAAAACGACAACGGTATATATGAAAAGACAGATTTGATTTGATGTTTTTGATATGGGGTTTGTAGGGAGAAATAGGTTTTTTCAGCTGATGCATGCAACAAAACGCCCTCCATTGAAATTTCTAAATATAAAATATGAAGAAATTTTAAGAAGAAACAGTCAGTGATCTAAAATAAGCACGGATCAATCCTACCAGATTGTGACAATTTTTTTTCTCACTACTAGATGTTTTGTGTGAATTAAGAAATGAAATTTGTTAGATGTACATAGGCTTGTACATCCGGGTGTCCATTGCACTTCACCATTGGCTGAGGCGCCGGGTGTTCATAATATACAAGCCTATGTACATGTAGAATGATCCTTAAGAAATGGGTAGAGAAAGAATATACTTTTTTTTTCTTTATTTTTTTTTGTTGGTAATGAGGAGAGAGAGAATTTCTTTTTTAATTTTTAATTTTAAAATTGTAAGAACTCATTTGAACTTTTTAAAAAATCTTAAGACTATAATTACAATCAATTGTTTATTTATTTCTTTTTATTTTTATTTAAATAGGATGATATGTTTGTCATTTCACAACTGTTTATTGAAAAAATAGACGAAATACACTCCATATTTCATACAAGGGTCCATTTCACCAATTCCAATAGATGAAGGGGATTTTGTGCACCATGTCCTGGGGTTTTGCCCCTAATCAACCAATGTTTATGTTAACATCATTTTAATCAAAACAAATTTCATTTTAATACTTCCACTTTCCTTACACAAAATTTCAATTTAGTATGCACTAATCATTCGTCATAGAGAAAGTTGCCTCAAAATTTTTGTCGCCAAATCTGGGGTATGAGAATGAAAAATCAAAGTAGGAGTGTTAGCTCGGGTGAAGCTCTAGATAGAAAATTGATGACAATACATTTATATCCTTTAAAAGTTAAGAAGATTACTACCCTTCTAAGTTTCGGACACATAATGAAGCTATTGCTCCGCAACTTTTTGTTATTTAATTTGGTAATAATTTTTTTATTTTTGCTATTTGAATAGGTCCATTACTCGACTCCTGTGATCTTATGTTGATTTCTTGTGAAGAGACATTCCCACCTTCCACTTAGAGGTTGGAGAACTTCTCTTTGACCATTTTGTCCAAATATACTTTTTCTAACCTAAAATAGTAAAATGAAAATAAATAACATTGTCATATTTGAAAATACCATCCATCTCCCGAAGTAGTTACATATAATAAATTACGTGCATATCTAGTACATAATAGTCGAGTGAAAAATTGATTATTTTTGGAAGCCATGTTTGGCTACCGTTTATAAATTATAAACGGCCAAATTAATTTTAATCTATATATTTCGTAAGATTCGCTTGTACATACCACTTATATATTGCTGATTTTTAGTTATTTATAATTTAAACGGTTCATCATCCGTCCATATTGGAACATTTGGGGTGAAGTTTGTGAATTCCCACGAAAGGAAAAAAACAACTAATTATAGAATTACAAAAGAGTGAAGAAATTAAAGCTAATGCGTATATTCAACAGTTTACTGCAGAATGAAAAAGAAAGAGAGCCCAGATGATTACTTGTTCTTCAGTCTTATTTGGTTGGTGCATTAGGTCCCCCCTTTCTGCAGAACATACACTGATAGTCCTCAATGGTGGTTGGCTTCCATACCCAATTTCCATCTTCTAATCCACCCAACCATATCTTTTAATACACACAATTTCATTCTTTAATCAACTGTCATTTTTTCTGGATTCAGTATTGACCGTAAATCTTGAAAATTTGTGAGTGAGACAAGAATATGTTAAATGGAGTTCAATCGAGCATGAGATAAAATGAATTGATATAAAGAGGCTTAATTTCTCTAGCTCTTAGCTTTCGTATTGGGCTTCAGTGTGTGGGTGTGTTTGAGAGAGAGAGATATGACGTCTACGAAGGTGGTGGATGAATTGGTGCCGCACCCAGTGAAGGAGCAACTCCCCGGAGTAGATTACTGCCTCAATAGCAACCCTTCATGGGGTATGTTCTTTACCCACACTCATTTATATGCATGCACAAATAAAAGGGTTCGAGTTATTTGTTACAATCTCAACGCTTCAAATAAATGCCAAAAAGACGACATGATATTTGCCCAAATTACTGAATGATGCTAATTCGTAATGCAGCTGAAGCCTTTATTCTGGGATTTCAGCACTACCTTGTAATGCTCGGGACAACTGTTATCATTGCCACCATCATTGTTCCTTATATGGGTGGTAGTAATGTTAGTACTTCTTAACAATCTATCAGCTTAATTTAATATTTACGTTAATTTGTTTGTTCGCATGATTCCATAACAAAAATCTTAAAGAATTTGAAGTCTGTATCACGTTACTGTGTATCAGGTGGAGAAGGCTCAAATGATACAAACTATGCTCTTTGTTTCTGGAATGAATACACTCTTGCAAACATGGTTTGGAACCCGGCTTCCAGTAGTGATAGGCGGTTCATTCAGATTCATAATTCCATCTCTTTATGTTGCATTTGCGCAAAGATATTACTCATACCTCAATCCTATTGATGTTAGCTCACAAAATACTCTTACTCTTAATTTTTGTATTCCATTGTTGCAACTTGTATGTTTATTGTCTAATTTATGTATTTACTTATTAACTTGTTTCCTTCTGTTAATATCTGAAGAGATTTAAAAAAACAATAACGGCAGTACAAGGGGCTCTCATGATTGCATCAATACTTCCCGTGATACTTGGTTTTCTGGGGATATGGAGGATTGTTGTGAAGTAAGATAGTTGGAAAAATGGAAGATTCTATTTTGCTTTGAAGTAGTTGTTGCTATTTTTTGTGGAATTAATATATAAATCTCTTGTATCTAACAACGTAGGTTCCTGAGCCCTCTTTCTGCCGTTCCTCTGGTAACACTTGTGGGACTTGGGCTGTATGAACAAGGTTTCCCTCTGGTATGAGCACTTCCTTATAAGTCCTATAATTATTGTGAGCATAACTAAGAATACGGTATTGTTCAGTGGAACCGGGGAAATTTATATAGGTATTTTATCTATATTAGCCCATTCTAAAATTTTTTAGCCCATTCAGATTTTGAAAAGGTTTACTAGACATTCAATACTAAAATCCCAATATTAAGGCCTCTAGTCTAAGCTGCCAAACTTATAATTCAAGGGGCTATTGCTTTTAGAAGTTTCAAAAAGTGGCCGTAGAGTGCTGTACAAAGATGAACTTGCATTCTGTGAAGCACTTCCTCTTAAGCATTAAGAAGAAAAAGACCGCTAGATCGTCCATGCATTATATTAATAATAAATATACTGAATGTTTAGCTGCTATTCATAACATATGTTAAAGTTGAAGCTACCTGTATTAAGGCCAGGAATTCGTACATTATATTTCTTTAGTAGTCTTCTTCTATTTTATGGAATTTCTGTTTAAAAACTTTCATTTGCTTACTAACATATCTTTTCTGTTCATTGATGCCTGCAGCTGGCAGAATGTATTGAGATAGGGCTTCCAGAGCTAATTATTTTAGTTTTGCTATCTCAAGTAAGTAGCATTCTGGATTTTGTTTCTCATCACAGGCTTGTCCTTACTTACTTCCCTTCCTGGGTGCTCTATAATACACCATTTTTTTTGGTGGTAATTAGACATCTTATTCATATTAGTTTTTGCTCTGAGCATTGTCAATATTAGTTTTTAGAATTGAACTTCTGGCTGATCAACATATCTTTGCAGTTCGTGCCTCATATGTTGAAATCTAAGCTTCCCATATACAACCGTTTTACTATCCTAATTTCGGTAGGATTGGTATGGGGATACGCAGCCCTTCTTACAGTAGCTGGTGCATACAAAAATAGCCCACTGAAAACTCAGTTAAGTTGCCGTGTTGATCGCTCTGGACTTGTAAGTGGAGCATCGTGGTATGTTCTACTACCAACTTATTATCAGATTTCTCATTCTCAAGTCCCGGATATCTAAAACATAAATGTAGCATTTAATTTGAGGTTTAATGTCTTTTTCATTATCTTGTATTTCAATCAGTTGTGTTATATTTTAAGTCTTCTTCTTGAAAACCCATTTCGTAAGTGTAGTGTAGTGTCTGATTTAGTTGCTGTGTTTACCATCTTAGCCTTTAAAAATTCAAATCCCATGTATTTGCAAGTATGATCACATATAATAAATTCTGCAATCGTTTGCCATCCTTAAATTACATATCCGTATGTTGAACTTCATGTCTTATTTTTCTGCTTTCCTTCTTATTTAACTTGAAATTTTCTATCTGTGTTGGATAACAAGTAGGCCTGTAACTGGAATCTGGACTCTTATTCATCGTGCGCCTTGTGTGCTTTGTGTTCTCTATCGCTTGGGAATAAAGGATCGCGATGTAGAAGGGTCGTGGAAATTTAATTAAACTTAGTCAGCAGTTTTATGCCCTCTGTAGATCAAGATGTTGGTAACTAGTGTAAAACAAGTCAAGATCTGCCACTAAATCTCACTTTACTGAAGCAGCTAGCTTTGAGTATAAAACAAGTCGAGTATGAAAATTGTCATGGAATTTACTAGTAAATCTCAATTTAAACAGCTAGCTATGAGACCTTTTGGTTTGTTATCTTGACTGTGTATGTTAAATCACCTCGGTACATGCTATGGTTTTACTCCACGTTTCTGCTTCTTCATTCCAAATCCTTATGTAACTTCTCAACACGCAGGATAAAATTTCCATACCCGTTTCAATGGGGTTCACCTGATTTACATGTTGGAGAAGTTTTTGTGATGCTGGCAGCAGCTTTTGTTGCTGTGATTGAGGTTTGTATTGTTTATCACAATTATAGCCCATTGCTTGAAAAGCTTCTATATTACTTTATTACTTTATTTTTCCATTTTTACCCCATTCTAGGGGGCTTATTCCGGAATAACTTTGTACATTTGGTACATATTTAATATTCCAGTCAAGAATTATCAGTTTATGTTTGGTAGGGATGGGGCTCGTCTATCAAATAAGAAAAGGCATTAAAATCATGTTCACTTTACCTTCTATTTTCCTGAATCCAAATAATCATTTAGTTTATTTTAATCATTGTTATGGCAGTCTACAGGTGCATTTATTGCAGCTTCAAGATACTGTAGTGCCACGTACATACCAGCTTCTGTTCTTAGTCGAGGCATTGCCTGGCTGGTAGGAAGTGAACTCATGACAAATCATTATTTTTCTTTTCAGATTTTCACTTTTATATATCTGTTTTAACTCACTATTTTTTTTTTCTCCGAGTTACAGGGAATAGGAATTTTTATTGATGGTTTATATGGTTCAGCTGGTGGATCCACTGTATCAGTGTAATATTACTAATCTACTCAGAAATTAGATGAACTGTAGGCTTCTACATGCTTAGACTAGTTACGGATGTCCAGCTTGATGAATATATAGAGCATTAAGTAGGAACACAGTCAGTCATATCCCAATTCTAGCATTTCAAAATTTTTTGATCTTTCACTTTCTTTCTTGTCTGTGTAATCTAATTTATTCTTGCTGAATGTTTAGTGAGAATATCGGATTCTTGGCATTGACACGAGTTGGAAGTCGAAGGGTGGTACAAATATCAGCATTTTTCATGTTTTTCTTTTCAATCTTTGGTGCGTTATGCCACTCTATCAATGTTGTTTTGCATAATAATCAACTGTTCGCCATTCTATAATTAATTCGACTAATTCAAGTTTTCCAAAAACAACTTTTAAGTTGTAGTTTGATTGCTGTTTGCACTAATGGGGCATTGACCTTGTTGATAAACAGGAAAATTTGGAGCTATCATTGCATCCATTCCACTGCCAATTGTTGGAGCTTTGTATTGTGTCCTCTTCGCCCTTATGTGTATGTACCTCTGCAATTTAATCCAACAGTAATGAGTTCGCCCGTTGCTTATTTTATGAGGTTATATTAACATATGGCCTGATGTATTAGATCGACAGATATTGGATTGGTTTAAGAATTTTGCACATTACATCGTTCCTGGATTCTTTTAGGACTACAAAATTTGCTTTCTTTGCACCATTTATCTTCTCAGATTTCAATTATTTTCAGATTATTACTTTCTGTTGTGTATGTGGCAGCTTCTGCTGGTCTTGGTTTACTACAGTTCTGCAACCTTAACAGCTTCAGGACAAAGTTCATTTTAGGCTTCTCATTCTTCATGGGTCTTTCGGTACCACGGTACTTCAGCGACTATGTGATAACTTCTGGTCGTGGTCCGGTTCACACAAATGCAATATGGGTACGTCTAAATGGTCTTCAAGAATATGTTTAGTACACAATATTGGATTGGACTGACAGTATAATGGACAAGGCCTTTAACTTCTCTTTCTTTGTTTATACAGTTCAATATTGTCTAGCGTGCCTTATCAGATGTACCGTAAGAGGTTTACTTCATAGTAATTTTAACTCCTAAATTTCATGTGCAGTTTAACAAAGTAATGCTGGTGATCTTTACATCCCCAGCCACTGTGGCAGGGCTTGTTGCAGTCTTCTTGGACCTCACTCTGGCACCTAAACATCCCTCAACAAGGAAAGATAGTGGGAGGCATTGGTGGGCTAAATTCAAGTATTTTGGTAAAGATCCAAGAAGTGAAGAATTCTACTCTCTCCCTGTTGGCCTTTCTAAGTACTTCCCTTCATTTTGATCATGGGAATCTTCACACTATAAAACCGTATGAGAATGTCCTCCATTCTATTTCTAGAGAAAGCTCCCAACGTATACAATAGAGCATTATTAGCAAATGGCATTCGAAGTGAAACAGAAAAAAGACTCGTACAATAGAGATTAAAAAAATATTGAATTCGTTTGTTTTTACACTGAAATGCTTATTTATATATAGACTGTAAAATATTTACAAACATATGTGAAAATTCCCTCTTTTGATATTATTGAATTATCTCATCCACCTTGTAGTAAGCTAACAAATTTTAGCATTTTTTATCATATGTAATTGTGTCCCATCCAATATATAAAAATGGATTTGCGATGAGAGAATTTTTATTTATAGAGGTTTGTAAAGCTTATGTAAAAGTTGTGAATCTTATGGAATATATAACTAAAAATAGGACCTGACCACTTAGAAACTGAAAACTTTCACGAATGTGTACTTAGATTCACTAATATCAAATTTAAAGTTTTGTCAAAAAGGACTGTACACAAAACAAAGCAGTAGGTACAGGAATTGCAAGCTGCTGTTTAAGAGAACATTGAAACCAATAAAATTGGTTAGAAAAAGACCAAGAAATAGAACATTTAGGAAAGCTCGAATATCAAAGCGTATATGTATGAGCGTATATGCGTGCAATGTAACGATCTATTAAGGACTTGTTACCTATGCTAAACAACTCTGACATGATACACAATTAGTTTGTAGTTTGTTAGAATCTTACTATGTGTATCAACAAAGAGATGTGTATAAAGTTTTTTTTTTTTTTTTTTTTTTTTTTTTTGTACCATTCTTGTATTCTATATGCTATAGAGACAATTCTTTTTTTTTTTTTAAACAATTTTTA